AGTTGGACGGGAATCGTTAGACAGACCATAAACAGGGCCAGACCAGGGAAGTGGGGGTTGCCTTCCAAAGATGGATGGGGCTATGGCGAGGGGCTGAAGCCGTAGATGCAGAGTTGCGTGGCTTTTGGGCAAGCCAAGGAAAACCGCAAAATTTTATTTAATTTTTGTTTAGCCGCGAAAAGTGGCGTATAAAATTTACTTTGGCCTCGAGGATGAACGATAAAGATGAGACTGAGCGAGACACAGGCGGGGGACATAAAATAATGGAAATTGCCAAATGTGATAGCCACAAAGTAGCAAGGGCGGTGGGGGGCGACGCTTGAAGGGGCAGTCGATTGCCGTGGCACAGCGAGTGAAGATCATATAATCCTGGTATAAATTTGCAAAAAAAAAATAAAGAGAAGGAATATTCTGCACGTTAATACCGCCGCCAAATAGAATTAGCTTTTCTTTTTTCCGCGCTGCTGCTGGTAATCGCCGCCCCATTTAAGCGGGCAATTTGAATTGCATGGACGGGGATACTAAAAACTCTCATATGTGAAAAACGCAGCCGCAACAGTTTCTCTCTTTGCGGTGGCTCAATGCGGCCATTTGGGCTCCTTCAAAATTGCGTCGCTATGGCCAAAATGGCAAGCAATAAAAAAGCCGTTTGCTGCATTCTCATGCACGGCCAGCCAAGACCGAACCGAACCAAAACCAACCATGCCTCGGAGTGGGTGGCTACTTACACAAAACTTTGGCTTTGTCCACCCCGGTGCAAGACATAAACCAAAGAAGCAGAAGCAGGGGCATAAGAAGTCCTGTTTCTAGGGTCCGCGCTCCAACACAGCGCCAGGAAACAAACGAGCATTGAAATTGAATTTAACAGCAAACAGTTTTAAGAACCAAACCGCTCTGAGCATGTGTGTGGGTGGGCAGCTCATATGAGGCTGCGAAAGAAGAGGTGCACTGAGAACATACTCAAAGGAGGGACCACACGTCGAATCTTGCTGCGAACTTTGTATGCGCTAATGGAGATTGATTTGCTCAGCGCAACACTGCGTATGCGTAATGTATCTATATATGTATTTGAAAGCATTTCAATATTCAATGGAACCCAACTGAGGCCAGTGGTAATTTTTCAGCGTTGCTTGCTATAAATTGGCTGGATAAAGTTCGAACTTGTCATTGTATATAAAAGAAATCAATTTAAAACATACAATATATACTTACATAATCATATAATTTACCCGGACAATGCATATACATAATACATGGGTTTATCTCATAAGAGGTATGGATCTTCCTTATGATTAATTCATTCAATCATAGCTACCTCCTATAATGTATGAGGAAGCAATTACTAGATGCCGATACTGCGTACTATTACTGTACGTGGTAGTTCTATAAAGAAGATTGTTAAAATACCCGCAAGTATTATATCCGTGAATTAAACTACGTGATTTCCAACAAACACCCAGATCGCACATCTTCTCTAGCTAATCCCTACCCTGTGACTGGACTCGTCCCAGAACGAATGGACCTCAGCTAGAGAATATCAATTTGTGCTGTGCATTGTTGCTTGGAATTCTATGGGATATCAGGAATAGCATCATTTGCCACGTCTGCGACTTATCGCCTAAAGAAATGTGCAGCAAAATAGATTTCTATAGCTTTGTGCAGTGGTGTGCGGGGGAGTGCGGAGTAATGCTGGGGAGGCATATTGAACGCAACTTGCAAGGGCAACAAGGAGCGATAGCAACTTATGTTTCGGATAATGCAACGGATTTCATTATTTCGGCACTTACGACCGAATAAACACTAACCAATGTGAACGACGGGGCAGTGCCAGCAACGAAAACTCTTTCGGACGGAAGGCCACACCACACAGCAGGAACAGAAACACAAACACAAACAGCAGCAACAACCGTTGCAACAAACGACAGCAGTTATAGACTTAAACCTAAACATAACGCTCCTTGCAACTGACTCCAGTATGAAAGAGGGCGCTCGAACCAATTATCCGACAGGGAAATACCTCATACTAAGGTTTATTTTAGAAGGAAATTATTCGATAAAACCCTCGGGCGCCAATTGTCCATATAACACTAAAGTTATAGATGGTAATGTGGAAACGTAACTAGCAAGCATGGCATCACAAAAGAATCCAACAGCAAGTCGACCCGACACTTTCTAACACAACACGGACACAGGGTATTAAAAGCGACTTATAGTGGTGAAGAGAGAGCACAGATCCCAGTTCGAACAACGAGTAAATGAGCTGTCAAAGTTTTTAATGCAGAAATAGCAGCAAGAGCAGCAGAAGTGGTAGCATCGCATCGGCCACAAAAGGAGCCATGAGCACGAGCTAGACAAGTAAATCTTATTGTGCAGAAAATGGCAAATTTCCCCAGACGGCCAAAACCAGCCAGTCTGTGGAGCGAGGAGATGTGGCTAACTGCACTGCAGCTACTGGGATGAAGGGTCTTGTCGGTTAGGTAGAGAGGGGAATCCGGGACTTTTTGAAGTATTTTCGCAGCATTGAGCGGACGTTTGATTGAGAATGAATTGTATATATTCCCGAACGTATTAAGTGCCAAGATGCCAAAAACAAACAAGAAGACAAAAAATGCGCAATATTAACAACAAAATACCGAACCCGAACAGCCCGATAGAAGTCACAATAACAAAAGCAGGGAAAAGCGCAGTGAAATGTACCGCTACCACTAACGCCAAATTTCTATGTAAAGTGTATATTGTACAGTAATAAAATAAAATTTTGTAATAATGAATTACCCAAAGGGTAAAGGCTGAACTTATTTTAAATTTGGCGTTTTCAGGTAAGGTAATTTAACAATGAAGTAATTATTGATTTGGAGAAAAATACAATCATAATATAATCGAGAAGGAACGTGTGACTTATACTTATACCCGTACTCAGTAAGTATATACATTTTTAGCGTTATGTTTTTTAATTTTAGAATTAAAAAAATTATTTACATTTTACATTTTTTTGCTACATATGTTATCTACATCTCATCTACAATGTATATTCTACATCTAACATGTAGATTTTACATCTCCTCCGCTAGGGGTTGCTCGCGCACTGAACGCGGCAGAGTGTGCGAGCGAGAAAGAGAATGAGTGGTTGGTTTCTTTCAGGAGGGGGCGGCGTAAGCAACAGAAAATTAATTTCTTCATTCTGGCTATAATTATGATCCGATCTGATTCAGGTTCGGCAATCTGGTAGATATGGGCATTCTCTACGATACTGCGTTTTTAGTTTTATCGTATCTTTAAAATTGTGGCTGTCACAGATTTTCGTTCTTTGTGGTGGCGGAAGGGGGCGGGCCGAAATTTTAAAAATACTCTTGTAGCAGTGTGATATCACATGAGACTGGAAACCAAATTTGGTTTCACTATTATAGTCTCTGAGATCCAGGCGCTCATCGAGACGGACGGACGGACAGACGGACGGACAGACGGACATGGCTATATCGACTCGGCTATTGATGCTGATCAAGAATATATATACTTTATGGGGTCGGAAACGTTTCCTTCTCTGCGTTGCACACATCCACTTTTACCACAAATACAATATACCCCTTAACTCTTTTTTGATTACGGGTATAAAAATAATTCGCAATATCTAGCACAAAATAAAAAGTTTCTGTTCCTATTATTGCTATAAGATATAGTAATTGTATAAAAAAGAAAAGACTTTGAAAAGGTACACCCAGATCGACTAGAAACAGTCAATGGTTAATATGGTTATGGTTAATAACGGTGTGAGTTAGAGAAAGAGGAAGAAAAGAAAAGAAAGAAGAGGCAAAGAAATTAAATATCGGGTGGAATATCATTGCTGTACTAATACATACTTCAAATAACATTACACGCTTGACAGTATCAATGGAATCAATTTGATCATCCACTTCAGTATCTATGCAAATTTTTGATGTGTTAATGCGTGAAAAATTGTCTGAGCGAGCGAAGTGAGTGCACCGGTGGTTGTCGGGTGTCTTTTTTCTCTAATTTTCTTAAATCGCAAGATTCATACGATTTAAAACCGGTTGATAATGAGCTCGCGATTTCAAAACGAAATTGCATGCAGCACAAAAATAAAAACGTGTAAGAGTGGCGAAAAAATATGAAAAAATTAACAGATGTTTAAAGTTTATATTTAACTAATGGAAAAATTTATTTTTTTATATTCCAATAATAATATTAAATAGATTTATTTCTAATGACACCCAAATATAACTAACAAAACAAAGAGCAAATTCCCCTTTGACAGATAAAATATCGATATCAATATCGGCCAGGGCTAATAAATGTCAAAACAATGGTATATTTAACTAACATATTTCCATTCCAAAACCAAACAAAGATTTTTTCAAGATATAGATATATAGCAAAACAATTTGGGAATGAAATGCTATCGATAGCAATAGGAAAACCGTATAACGAACACTTGCAATTCGTACGAATAATTCCAAAAGCGTAATCGCAAAAATTTACAAAAACCGGAGCAAAGCTGATATATAATTAATTATTATAATAATAATTACTATTAATTGTTTATGATCTAAAATATATATAATTTAAACAAATGAAGAAAAATTTTTAGACTAAAAAGTGAAGCAGTTTTACTGGACGACCTTGACTGAACATAGTTCAATTGTCTACAATTCCTGTAAAATGTTTCCAAATAGCTTCATCATTACTAGGAATTAGCTTATATTTAATGGTCACCTCTTAAGAGAACCAACCCCTGACTAAATCGATCGGAGTACTGCTAGCCATCATTCTTCTCCTTAAACTTAATAAATTTTTTCGTTAATCAGATTAATGTCGCCAATGGCATCTATCCTTGAAACTCAATCAAAAAGTGGGTTCCGTGTAAACTCGCTTGTGGCGTAAAATTTCTATCTCTCCAGCGAATATTTTTTTTTTACAACTTTATGAACTTTGGATCCCTACGATTTTGCTTTTGTTCTCCTCATTGCTATAATTTTTATGTCAAAATATAAATTAAATTTTTTTGGCTTAACACGCGATTGTCGTTTTGATGTCACAGACACACATGAGGGGGACTAGGGAAAAGGAAGTATAGGTTGGAGGAGGTCACACAGTCACGTCTTGAATGCCAGTCGAGCTGACACAGTTTGTTACTTTCAGCAAAAGCGTTTCCCCCAAAAGACGCCAAACGATGGCGACGACGTCGCCTGCAGTCGACACTCAAAAAGGTTGCCCGTGGAATTCCACAATTCACCCTTCGGAAAGCTTCCTTCCTCTTAGGAGTTCCCAGTCCAGGTCGAACGTCGCTCACCTTGCGGTCTGCCATTTTCGAGCAAGAAGTTCATTACTCATAAATGCTGCACATGGCACGGCCCAGGAGATGGAGATGTCGAGACTGGATCCTGGATCCAGGATCCTGGGGGGACCTCCACACCCATTAAAACAACAACAAGAAGGAGGAAGACGCTTGTGGTATGAGAACTTCCCTCCCCTTCCTCCTCGCTATAAGTTAAGAGAAATCTGCAGTGCGCTTTAAGTGTTATCGGCATCACGCATACACCGAAAAGACAAGCCCTTAGCTTACATCTACCCGCAGCTCCAACTACCCTTGCCACTCCGACGAATGTGACGACGTGGAGGACATTTTCATTTTATGACAGGGCTTCCTCCCTGGCGGAGAGAGAGCGAAAAAATTGTTGCCGTAACCACCGAATACTTCTACGTGTTTGCGGCCGAGTTCAAAGATTTATCAGCTTCGACTTCGACAAGGCGCTGTCGTCAAGTTCAGGACAGATTTCCACCTCCACCTACAAGTATATATACGACCACCTCTCCACCTATTCCTCTCGCCTCATCTGCTGTGTGTGCGGTTATTTGAACAGATTTAATACCCACGCAAACGTGTGGGAACTTTAAGTGCTGCCCCTAGTCACAAGGAGTAGACGTCTCCTGAAGATCCAAAGGACAGAAAAGGAAATGTAGAAGTTCAAAGAAATTTGATTTTCTTTTCAAATGCATAAATGGGAAGGTGTACCACTTTGGGTTCACACATTAAAAAATCATCAAAAGTGGCAGAAAGTGGAATGGCCAATTATGTTTGACCTCGCTGCAGTGTTACATAAAAGAGACTGGCAAGACTATTCATATGATGTTGTAGGTAGGCTAAACTTCAAAACTTACTTGCTGCAAGCAAGGAAACCTAAAAAAAAGTGCGTGTAAAGAAACTAAGCTAGAAGATCCCTTTAGCACTCATGGGGGAACAAGTTTGGAAGGGTGTTAAATAAGAAGTTAAGAATAAGAGCGGCTATAATCCTTCCACCTAATGACCAATATTGTATTCATGCAACAAAATTTCTTAGATACATTCTTAAAGACTCTGAGATCTGAGCGTTTATCAAGACGGTCGGACGGAAAGACGGACGGACGGACGAACAGACGGACAGATAAAAAGTCGTCTAGGCTTTTGATGCTAATCCATAATATATGTACATTATGTGGTCGAAAACTCTTTCTTCTGACTGTAACACACATCAACACAAAAGGAATATATCCATAAATTGTGGACTTTACAATAAGAAGAAAGAATTATAATTACATATTTTTATGGAAAGAGAGAGAGCAAACTTAAATGCAGTAGTCGCTCGACTGAGGGGTCAAGTCGAATGTTAATAATGTTTTTCCCAACCCAAATTGGGTTGCGACTTTCTTTAAGAATACTTTTCAGTCTGGTTGCTGCCAACAATAAGGTCTCTTTGTTGAAGGTAAATTCGTTTTATAATCCTAGTTACTCGTAATTACCAAAAATAGTTTTCCAACGAGTTATATAACATTCCCGTTTTTCACCTTCTCAACGGGTAGCCACTTTTAAGCAGTGCTTTGTATAGGCCTCATTTAATCTTTCCCCAAAACGAAATCAGACCAGAACACATTCATATCGCTCTGCTGCCCTTTGTTCCCTTCTCATGCTGTATGTACACCACTCGGCGGTTTGCTTGCAGGCGGCAATTACTTTTATATCGGATTCCTGTTTGCTCTCGGTTTTCTTAACAGCAATAGCCACAAATCGATAGCCCCCAATGTTTGCACAACTGGCGCGAGATTCCAGCTTCAGCTTCAGTTTCAGCCTCATTCGATTCGATTCGATGAGATCTGAATGCTGGTTCGGTTACTGCTTGTGCTTCTGCGGCCTTTGTGCCAATTGCTTTTGGTCCAGAGCTGAGTACGGACGGGAAGAGTTTACTCCAGAGGAGTGGAACTGAAGTCGTCATCCAGCTCTCTGGCAGCAGAGGCATCGTGAACACTTATGTCGTTGCCCCATCCACCCCCAGCCGCAATGGCAAGTGGGTAATGGCAACGGCCATAGCAATCGCAATCATTTCATTTCCCTTTTTAATATACGCTGCACAAGCACATAAGAACGGCCAGCGGGGGTACGGCCAAAGCAAAATTCTAACCAAACCACGTGCCAGACCAGACAACACCCATCCCTTACCACGGCCCCACAACAACGTTATCCCCATTGCAGTTTTTGGTTTGTATAAGTAGTCATCGGAGGCATTTCTTCACCCACGACTACTTTACTATTTACTCTCCCCCAATCTTTCTACACACATATATCTTTCCCTATTCAGTTGCCGTGAACGATTCTGCGAGTTTTGCTTCCGTTTCCGTTTACAGTGTTTGCAATTTTTCGATGAGTTTTAATGGACTTACATTTTTTTAAGCCTATTCGAGAGTCCGCCTTCTACTAGGGATGGGAAGGTCCTTGATTGTTGATTGATTCCCGTATCCATCGATATAAAAATCGTGGCATACAGTGGCAAATACATTTTTTTTAGATTTTATATAAAACAGAAAGGCACAACGAACAGGAGCTACGATATGCAATCAAAACAGTGTTAAGATATTGTGAAAAACTATCTTTCGATAAAAAGGAAAGCTATGGTCCATCTCTAACATCGTCCAACTACACCCAATCCCAATGTCCCCTGCCCACCATCCATACCACCTTAGCGCTGGACACAGTGCCAAGGCCAACCCAACATTTTTGCCGGCGCACACGCGCGTCTTGGCTAATTTTGCATGCAACTCAGACAGCTGAACGTCCGTTCCTCCTACCACAAAGCCCTCACTCATCGCTGTACCCCTCCAACCACAAACAACCCACCACCCGCCATACCATGACCCCACCATCTGTACGCTTTTTATTGTGAATGAATAAAAGGAGCCAACACAGGAGGAAAAAAGAGATGGAAACGCGGGGTGGCAGGGGACACGGCCCGCGGGTGGTAAACGATTTAGCACTCACATTGATTGCGTAGTTTTATTTATGCTTTTTTCTGCTCCCTTTTTTTTATATACATGCATGGATATCCACATATTTATATTTATTTGTAGACTATAAAGTTCATATTAAAACAGGCGCAAAGCCTGTAAAGGGTCAGCAATGGGCTAATCATTCCACGGCGGGTTTGGGATGAATAGTGAGTAAAACTTGCTTAATATTAAATTTTGATTGTGTTAACTTTACGAACTTGAAATTCATCACTGTTTCAGTCCTCTAAAGACTTCTTAGGCTACTACTCCACGCTCCTTCCAAGCGGCAAAGATGTCCCGTTGCTGGGTATACCCCAACTATTCCTGTTGCTGCACTTTACTGATAACCAACACAAATTGTTAACAGCGCGGACCAACAGTACATAACCTACATATAAATAACAACTCTCTGGAGATAAGGGCCCGGAAAAAGAAAGTAAATGAATGAAGTCCAGCATTTTGGGTAGTATATAATTTATTTTTTTCTTTTTTGGTCCTCCCTCGCTAGCTGTTTTTACACTCAACTACATTCGGTTCAACTTTCCCTGCTACATCGGGCAAATGTAATTTTCCTTGACACTTTCCGGTTGGCAATCATATCGCGACAATGCCAACAAAATCAGCAATAAGAAAACGCCAGAGACCCTTGGTTAAGTTCGGAGGAGGAAGTGTTGTGGACCTCAACCTCAAGTGTGAAATGTAAAGGCATGGTGTCGGCTTCGTTCGATTTAAATCATTAAGCAGAATGTCGGCCCCGGCAAAAAGATACTACCCGCTCACTCTACTTGTCTAGTGTACTTCTCCCTGTTATGAAATCAGCTTAACGAGATTGGAAATCAGAGCAGAAGCCACCACCAGTAAAAGATTGAAGGTGTACTCGTAGGGGTGACATGCCATGGCTGCTGATGCCGGACAATGCTTATAAGATGGTCCAGCTCAGATAGCAGAAAGTACACTCCATTAAGGCTGTTGCTGTGTGGGGGTTCGGTCGCCAAAGTTCAGAGAGTCCATCATCAAGCTAGTCAAACCAATTTGCGGGGATCAAATTAAAGCCACATCAAATGGGGCAGTCTAGATTATGGAGGGTGGATGCGATATGAGGGGCGGCATCTGATGTGTTCCGGCTAAGCTCCCAAACAAAACTTTATGATATGTGGCATTTTTCAACATAAATCGAAAGCGTCAGCAACAGAAGAAAAACTTTGCAATCAAAGTTCGTTTTTGGAAATATTACATGGGAAAAGTTTTACACATGAGGCAGGCAAGAAAAATATTCCAAGTAATATATTAACCAATTGAGCGTAAAATTAAATCTTCTTAGCAATAAATACACAGGATCAATAAGTCATACGCAATATGGTAGAGCTCTGATATGCTATGAAGATTGGAGCGCATTTTACTAAACGAGTACTGAATTCTGATAATAATAAAAGTATGAATACTCCACAGATCTCCTACTTATAATTTAAATTAATTTAAATATATTTTCATACTGTACAGACTTTTTAGTAACTTTCCAGAGTTAGGTTCACCCTGAACAGTTCCATCTTTCATTTAAGACGAGATATAGGCATGCAGAAAGATCGCAATTAATCAGTTTAAAAACATGTCGACTTATCCTACAAAGAAAGTAATAAAAGGAAGAAATAAAAATAAGAATATTTTTAAGTTTAGTTAAAAAATATTCCAAAAAAATTTAATAGCCCCTCTATAGCGCCAACATTTGTATCGTCCAAACATTCTTTCACCATTTCTAAACTTATTCGCCCTGTAGATACTAGTATCTGTATGTCTGTATTTCGATACTTTTCGAATTCAATGCACTATGTTTCCGTTCTTTCCCTCAACACTGATGTGCTGCCTCTGCTTCCAGTACGTCTCCATGACCATAATTGATGATGAACAAATAAGATGGCTTCTTTTGTTACGGATTGCAGAAAATCCCCTTTCCATGAAAATCACCTTCACACGGAGACGGAGGAAAACGAACCACATGGGCTCGTCCTTCGATAATGCAATTCCATTCAGCCATACGAGACAGCCAATCCTTCCAATTCACAACACTCTCACATTCGCACGCACATTCATCAGTATGCATTGGAGAAAAGCTTTATCCAAATATGTTCTTTGCTGAAACCGTCATCCCATCTCCTGGTCTCCTGGTCAGGCGATATCGAACAAAGTTATAACTTTTTGCCATCACGTTACGCAGTATTTGGATATTTTTGGCAGAAACACCATTTTTGCTGGCTACTGGTTTTATTGGCTGGGGTTGCTTGATTTTCTCAATCCGTTCGGAAAGGACGTGCCAAGAGGGTTAGAGTGCTTTGCTTTTGTTTGAGAGAAATTTACTTTTATCTGACTGCTAAGTTTCAACGCTTATTTTATATTTCGCTTTAATAATTTTAATCAAATATTATTTCATTAGTATGGCACGGTAGGTATTTATTGTATGTTCATTTTACGTAAGTGAATTATTGATTTTTCATAGACTCAAAAGGGACACGAGTATTTCTTTCTTCTCTATTTGATGACATCGAATAGCAACGTCATATAAATGAATTTTTAATTTGATTAGCATTGCAAAATTTTGAGCAAAGCCACCAGCTAAGTAGCTACCAGTCGAATTCCTAAAATCCCTACTTTTTCTCCCAGTAGTTGTTATTTATTACAAAGAGCTTGCCATCGTTCCATCTTTTTCATGTGCGTACTGTCTATCAGTTAACGTTAACAATCGTTTGCAGATTTTTTTTGCAAAGTGCCAGGCCCCAAATCCTCCGGCATTCCTGCCTCTTCGCATCATTAGCGCCATCGTTTTAAAATATTATTAATACTTAATGGTCTGCCTATAAATGAGTGTGAGTGTGTATATAAGAGAATATGTGCATGCACTGAACAATTTATGGAGCGGGCCAAATGAATTTCCTGCCCAGACGCTTGGCCGGCAGGACCAGATCCCCGAGAGCCCAACACATAAAAGAAGAAAAGCAGCAGCGGAAAACGGAAAATTTGCCCCACACTGGGGTGCGCAACAGCAACTAACAATACAGAAAATAATGCAACAAA